TTCCACTCCCAGGACCCTGGGGCACAGAAGAGGTTGTGAGGAGGCTCCGGGGGGGCCAGGGCAGGCTCCTTCTCCACAGCTGATGTGTCAATGTCCAGAAAGAAGTCATCCAGACCAGAATCCCCCAGGTACCGGGAGCTCAGAGCTTCTAAGAAGACTGGATCGGGCTGGGGCAGCACTTCGTTCTGGGGACCTGCGGGAGCCACTGGATTCTGAGGGGGCTCCGTCTCGTCCATGGACGTCTCCAGTTCCCTGAGAATAGAACCGATGGTGGCTGACAGGGAGAAGTCCTCCTCGCCCAGGAATAGGGGCTCAGGGGGCAGGGTGGGTGCTGGAGCCAGGCAAAGGGCAGCCTGGAGCTGCTGGAGGGTATTGTGTATGAGGACATGCCTGCGTAGGCTCGGGGCTCGGGGGCCCAGGCTTCGCTGGACTTTGTCTAAGGAGATTCGAAGCAGGGCTTGCTGGTAGCTCCGCAGGCCTGCTGAACCCCAGTCCCACTTCTCAACCTCCTCTTCCTCCTCCAAATCCGAGTGTTTCCTCTTCAAACCTCCTACCATGGTGCCCTGAAGAGAGAAGAGGAGCAAGTCAGACATAGTAGGGCTAGTTCAAATCCCAAATCTATAAAATGGACATAGGAGGAATCCCACAGGGCTGCGGAGGAGAAAACTAAATCTGGACAGACACATAGCTGGGTTTGCATCCCACTTACTTGCCTGTGTGGCCTTGAATAGTCAATTTGTCTCCTTGAGACACAATACTCATTTCTTCAAAAGTGTTACATATAACAGGTGTGGAGTATGGGGACCTGGCCTGGAGGCAGGAAACTTGGGTTTAAATTCTACCTTTGACACTGCTCAGCTGTTTGATCCTTGTAAGTTATGTGATATCGCCTCTCGGTTTTTTTATCAGGTCTCAGTTTCCCCATCTGTAAAATGAGGACTGTAAAATTTCTTACCATATGCTCAAGGAGATCCCACCTGTAAAATATGCATGGGGCCCACCTACAGTTAACCTTAACAAACAAGAATTTAATTGCCATTTATTCATTCAATATTTTTATCTATTGACGGCCTATTATATTCAAGCCACTTGGAGCCCCGTTAAGACACCTATTTGTTGAGACTCTTCTTTCACAGGAAGTGTATCTTCTTTTTAAAGATTTTATTTATTTTCGAGAGAGAGCGCGCAAGTGGAAGGGAAGGGCAAAGGGAGTGGGAGAAGCAGACCCCCCCCCACCGAATGCGGAGCTGTAAGCGAGGTCCATCCCAGGACCCCGGGATCGTGACCCTAGCAGAAGGTAACCGCTTAAGCGACTAAGCCTCCCAGGCATCCCGGGGAGTAATTTCTTTCCATGTCCTCTTCCTAACCCACTGGAAGCACACCCAAAAGCTGGGAAGGAGCCTCCCTCCTTCCCTCTTCTACTCCTTCGGCCTCCCCCAAAGCGCACCCCACAAGAAAATTTGCTAAAACTCGACTCCTGCCAGGCTCCGCCCCCTCCATGGAACTCCAGTCAGAATCCAGGTAGGCAACAATTTAGCCCAGAGGCTTCTGGGAAATGTGGGCCAAGAGCTGCCTGGCACGCTCAATAACGTTGAGCGTGCACTACAATCCCCAGAGGGCTCCGCACGCCGGAGGGAGCACCCTCCCCCGCCCTCCCCTAGGGCATGCGCACAGGGCCCGGGGCAGGTGGGGGAAGGGAACCCGGACGTCCAGCTGCCCGGAGCCTGCCGAGCCCCGCCCTCCGCTGCCCCTAGGGCGGCGGGTCTGAGCTCCACGCCTGGAACTCCCCTCCCCCACCCCAGACTCCGGCCCTACAACTGCTTTCTCCTGGTCCTTCGGACCCCAAGAAGGCCCCAGATTCTTCCCCCAAACTGCTCTCGGGTCCACAGACCCAGGCCCCAACACATTGCTCAAAAACTACAAATGCGCTCCGATCTACTCCATTCGGGAGCCTAATTTTGATACCCTCAGCCGTCAACTTTCTCCTATTCTCCCATCTTTCAAACGCCTTTCGACTTCACCCCCCAACTCTCCCTCTGACTCCAAGACCTGAACATGGGATTCTCCCCAGCACCTCCTCTCCTCCACTGCGTTTCCCTCACCAATATTCCTTGCACGTAGTTCTCTCGCTTTTCCAAATGCCCAGAATCCCAGCCCCAACCCCTCACACCTTTTCCAGAACACTGGAGCCCCGAATTCAACCCGCACGGGAGACGCCAATTGTCCCAATCTTCAGATTTCCTGCCCCAAAAGTTCCTTCCTTGGTTCTCTCGCTTCTCCAAACACCCCATGTCCCAGCTTCAAACTCCGTCCACTTGAAGATCCTGCCCTACCAACTTCGCCTTCAGTCCGGGATCTCGAATTCAGCCTCCAGTCCCCAAACCCCACCAACCCCATCAGTCACCCTTATCTGCACCCCCTACCCACGCCCAGACCCCGCCTCCACAACTCTCGGGGGGCGCGCCTCCACTTCCCCTAACCCAGGGCAAATCTCAAGCTGGGTGGCTTCACTCTCTCTCTCACCTTAGCTGCCAGGTTCGCAGTGACCAAGTCCTGGAACGTCCACAGCTTTACGACCCACCAGCGCCGAGCAGGAGACTCACTCACCTCCCCAGGGCCTCTCGGTTTGGCCTCCGGCCCACCCAGCTCCGCCCCGGGGCCGAATCGCGAGTCGCGATTGGCTGGAGTCCTGCCCGCCGCGGGGCAAGGATTGGCTGGGTGGAGCCACCCGCCTGTAGCCAGGAGACGCCCGACCCGCCCTCCCTTTACTTACTCCCCGGACCTTTTAAAGGATTCCGACTCGCCCGGGGGCGGGGCCACGTCTCGAGGGTGGAGCGTGGCGAGGACGTCAGAACCGTTTCCTTCAACTCAGCCACTGTCCTCGCTCCAAAATCGTCAGCATTGCTCTCTGCGATACTTTTATACCAGGTGAGGACGCCCGTCGGCCCAGGGGTGGGGGGGCGGGGCGAGGCTGCTTGGCACGCCCCTCCCCACCCCGCTTTCCGGGCGGGTGGGGCTGAGCCCCGGCGGAGGACGCGCCCCCGGCGTTCCGAGGGCGGAAGCTGCCGGGCAAGGATGACGCCGCTGAAGACCAGCCAATGGTTCGGCGCGGCCTACGTTGCCTGGGCGATCGCAGCCGGCTTCCTGTCTTCCTGCCCGGCCCCCCAGCTCCCGCCCGCTCTGTACCCCGCGGCCCCTTTCTTAATCCTCAGGATTTCTCTGCAAGTCCTGGGTGGTCTCTCCAGCACCCCTCCTTCCGGAGCCCCGTCCTTCCTCTCAGGCAGGATGCCACCTCCACTGCTGGGAACTCATTCCTTGCTCGCTACTGCCCCGGGGACAAAGTCCCAGCTCCTCCCCTTTTGCCACAAAGCCCTTTACCGTCTGGCCTGAAGCACACTCCTCCTGGCTCCCCAGGATCCGGCCACAGTGATTGAATTTCAGTTTTCACAAAATGACTTTACGTGCCCGCCGCCGCCATAAACGCTGAGATTTTTGTCTGTTTTCTTCCTTCCTGCCTAATCCCCAGTCTTTTATGTACCATAGCAAGTACTCAAAAATGACGGTAGACGGCCTCTGGATCTTTAAACTTGTTTCCCCATCCTGAAAATACACCTTCCGTTCTCCCTTGACGCTCCAGAATGGGTGAAGTACCACTATGGGCTGCCTTAGTGTCCTGGGCTTCCCCTGTCCTGGCCCTGACCCCTCTGCCCATGCCTCCCATTCCTGGCCCTGTGTGCACTCGCGGTTGGGACTGCGGGGCCCCCCCACGGAGGGCAGGTACCAACGGGGACTTGGTCCATAGCGTTACCTAGCACATGGCTGGACACAAGGAAGGCACTGAGTGAAGTTTTGTAAATGCCCAATATGACAGAAAGAGCAAGAGGGCATAAAACAAAACAAAACAAAACAAAACAAAACAAAAAAACAGGGCTACTGCCCCAAAGCCTGAACCAGTCGTGCCCCACCCCCACAAGTTTCACCAAGAGGAGGGGGGAGGTTTAAGGCTCTGAAGAGAGTCCAGTTCTCATCGGTTGGAATTTGTCGATCAGTTCTTCAGACCAGTTCTCATTGGTTGGAATTTGTCAACCAGTCATCCTGCTGCTTGCAGAAACAATATAGGAATGGAATGGATTTTTTTTTTTTTTTTTGGAGGAGAAAGGAAAAGGTGTTGGGTGGGGAGGTAGGGTTGGGGGAGGCTGGAGATAGGGAGGGAGGAGTGGCTCACTCAGAGGTGGGAAAGGTGCCTCTGGGGAACAAGGGCAGGGGACAGTAGATATCAAAGAGGGACATGATTAGGAAGGGGTCATTCTTCCCCCTCCTAAACCTGCCCCTTTTCCAGCCCCCCCCTGCACTCCCCTTCATGTTAGAGTGGCCCCACTGTAACCCTGTCTCCAGGTTCTAGCTCTTTGCTTCTTCCTCCATCTCTACCCCCCCACCCCCATCGTGGACTGTCCACTCCGCTCACGCCCACTCTCTTGTCTGGCTCAAGGCCTCTGTCTTGGTATCCCTTGACCCAGCAGCCAAGGGCAGCTTTATAAAACACAAATCTGACTGTGCCCACTCCCCACCTCTCTCCTGCTCCACTCCTTACACAGAACCTCAGAATAAAGCTCAACCTTTTTATAATGATTCTGCCTGGTTTAGCTTCCATGTAACAGCCTCTTGGGGCCGACCACTTCTCCCCTCTAAGCGGAGGAGTATTATTAACTTCTTTGGTCCCCAAGCTTGGTCAGATAGTTCTCTCAGCCATCTGGGCTTCCTTCTTCAGAGCTGTGGCCTCTCTGGGTTGTCACTTCGCAGGCCAGGATGTCTTCCTCCCTGGACTGTGAGATCTGTGAAGCTCAGGTCACCCCTGGGTCTTCACACTCCTCACCTGGTCTCTAGCACGGGGTCAGACAAATACATGAATGAAAACCTTCCCCGAGGCAGATAGAGACCCCGAATCACCCACACAAAGCCAGACAGAGGAAGAGTCACAAGAGTTGGTTCTTGTAGAATAATTTGAAGCTCTTGGCTCAAGGTTTATTTACTCCTTTCCTCTGTTCTCCATTTCCCAGAATGCTGTCCTCCTGGACAGGGTCACAGCCCTAGTCATACTGGTGGGAGGGGTAGGTGTTGTGCCCGTCGTACTTATCGGTGGTGAGGCAGCTCAGCATGAAGTGGCCCAAGTCGTGTTTGGAGATGACCCTGGAGGGCCCTCGTCCGTCCAGGGTCACCGTGTAGGCCCCTGTCAGCGGCTGGTCTCCTGCAAGGTAAGGACACGGGATGGGTGAAGCCCATGTCTTTTCCCCTCTCCACAGCACATGATCACTCCTGAGTGCTTACAGCATCCCCAGCCCAGAAGGTGTAAAAGTCAATGATGTATGAAACTCTTACAAACATGGAGGACGCCAGTCTATACCCCTTACTTCATTCATTCGACAAATCCTTATTGATGGCCTATTAGGAGTTGGGTGCTGAGCAACCAGCAAGGGACGAAACATACAAGAACCCCTGCCCTTTGCATGCAGAGGTTCCCTGGGAAAAGGCAACAAATAAGAGAGTAAAATAGATAATATGTTACAAGGAGAGAAAAAAAGCAGGGACTAGGCTAGGAACGGTTAATAACTCAATGCTACCCATGAGCAAACTGAATCCGCAGGAGAGAAAGTCAACCCCAGGCTTGCAAAGGGTGACTTCCCAGTGGCAAAGGCTAGATTTGCTCTGGGTCCTTACATCTGGAGGCATAACCTGGCCGTTAGGAGGGCATCTGTTGGCTCCACTATGATAGTTAAAAAACTCTGACAGTGACCAACTTAACTGAGGGACTGAACTCAGCCTACCCGTGCAGGGGCAACCTGGAACCATGTGCACGAAAAAACATACACCCTCTCTCAAGCGGCATTCCTGCCAACAGTGTTTAATCTGAGCCTGAGAGAAAACAAGCAGAGAAATCCAGAACATGGGATATTTAGAAAGATACCCGGCTTGGTTAATTTTATGAGACATATTTCAAAAAAGAGATGGAGGATTGTTCCAGATTCAAGGTGACACAGCACACAACCCACGATCCTTGGTTGGATCCTGATTTTGTAGGGAGGGAACACTGAAGTATATATATATTTTTACATTTTTTAAGGATTTTACTTTTAAGTAATCTCTGCACCCAAGATAAGTAATCTCTGCCCCAATGTGGGGCTTAAACCCACAACCCCAAGATCAAGAATTGCAGCTCTTCCAACTGAGCCATGCAGGCATTCCAATATTTCTTGACGGTTGGAGAAATCTGAACACTTTTTTTAAAAGATTTTATTTATTTATTTGACACAGAGAGAGAGAGATCACCAGTAGGCAGAGAGGCAGGCAGAGAGAGAGGGGGAAGCAGGCTCCCTGATGAGCAGAGAACCCAATGTGGGGCTCGATCCCAGGACCCTGAGGTCATGACCTGAGCTGAAGGCGAGGCTTAACCCATTGAGCCAGCCAGGCGCCCCGAAAAATCTGATTATCGACTATGGCATGGACACTAAATGACGTGGTAAGAGTTAAGATCCATTCCCTTGGTGCACTATAGGTAGAGAGGGTCATTCCCGAAGACTTTTCTTCTTGGGAGATGCCTACTGATGTCCTAGGAGTGGAGTGTGACAAGGTCTGGACCGTACTCTCAAATGGTTCAGCCAGAAAAAAATTTTTTTTTTAATTTTTAAAAATTTCTTTTTAAAAAAAAAAATTTTTTTTTTTAAAGATTTTATTTATTTGACAGAGAGAGATCACAAGTAGACAGAGAGGCAGGTAGAGAGAGAGAGAGAGGGAAGCAGGCTTCCTGCAGAGCAGAGAGGCCGATGTGGGACTCGATCCCAGGACCCTGAGATCATGACCTGAGCCGAAGGCAGAGGCTTAACCCACTGAGCCACCTAGGTGCCCCTAATTTTTAAAAATTTCTTAAAAAAAAAAAAAAAATTTCTTGGTTTTTTTTTTTTTTTTTTCAGAAAAAAAGTTTAAAATATGTATATATTTATACATATATACCCCCATTTTTTTTTAAAGATTTTATTTATTTATTTGACACAGAGAGAGAGAGAGATCACAAATAGGCAGAGAGGCAGGCAGAGAGAGGGGGAAGCAGGCTCACTGCTGAGCAGAGAGCCTGATGCGGGGCTCGATCCCAGGACCCTGAGATCATGACCAGAGCCGAAGGCAGAGGCTTAACCCACTGAGCCACCCAGGTGCCCCTATACCCCCATTTTTAACATACATATATTTAAATAGATATATTTACCCCCCTCCCTTTTTTTTTTTAGAATGGTACTATGTGTTCAATACTTTTGAGGCATGATGTCTTTGGGTTTCACTTCAAACCCGGGAGATCAAGATATGCACAGACACTCTGTAATATGTACTCTGTTCAGAGACGACAAAACCAAGGCCAGAGGCCATGGGCCCGAGGTCCACCTGGTGCCAGGGCTGGGATTTTGACTCAGCTTCACCCTGCAGCCTCACCACTGCCACTGAGTCAAAGCTTAGGATTCTGGTCCCAGGAGGGCCCTGAACTGAACCTAAACACTGAACTTTATTTGACCCTCTAGAATGTGTGCAGGCCTCCTCCTGTCAGGGGTCCCAGGAGGCAGAGGGCAAAGTAGAACTGCTCATAGCAGGGGTGCCTGGGTGGCTAAGCAGGTTAAGTACCTGCCTTCAGCTCAGGTCATGATCTAGAGGTCCTGGGATCGAGCCCTGTGTCAAGTGCCCTGCTCAGCAGGGAGTCTGCTTCTCCCTCTCTCTGTTGCCCCCTGCTCATGTTGTGACTGTGTCACAAGGGCACACACTCTGTATGCAAGAGACATTTGTGAAATGAATGAGTAATTGAATGAATGTCTCCCTGAGTCTGACTCTGTGTGTCTCTCAAGGAGGATTCCAGACCTGGGAGAGGAAAAGAGGTTGTAGGTAGGTATAGTAGGTATAGTTTTTGATCCTCTCCACAATGCCACTGGGAAGTGTGGTTCCTCTGGATTAATTCATCAGACAAATATTTACTGAGTGTCTACTATATGCTGAGCCCTGTTCTGGGCAGTGGGAATATAGCTGTGATTGAAATTAGACAAAATCCCTGCCTTCAAAGAGTTAACATCCTAGTGATAGAGGCACACACTAAATAAGGTAAGTAATGATATGGGGCGCCTGGGTGGCTCAGTAGGTTAAGCGTCTGACTTCGGCTCAGGTCATGATCCCGGGGTCCTGGGATGGAGCCCCGCATCCCTGCTCAGCGGGGAGTCTGCTCCTCTCTCTCTGCCTGCCGCTCTGCCTACTTGTGCGCGAGCTCTCTCTGTCAAATAAATAAATAAATAAAATCTTAAAAAAAAAAAAAAAAGAAAGAAAAGAAAGGAATGATATGCTCTGTGTGGTGAAAGGGAAGTCCCCTTCCCTTGAAGATGGGTTAGCCCCAGTAACTCACTTCAAATAATAATAATAATAATAAATAAGCGTTGTTTTACATTTCTGAACTTGGGGTGGTTGGTTCAACAGAGCGAGGCAAAAAGGTGTCAGAAAGGAGACAAAAGCAAGCAAGACAGAGAAGAGAAAGTGAAAGGGGAAGGCCTGCAATTTTAGACCGGCTGGGGAAGCCCTGGCGGACCTCCCCTGCAGACAGGAGGGGGCGAGCTGGTGGTGACCCTGCCACCAGGTCCCAGACCCACTCACCTATGTGTGGTGGCATCACAGCCACGTACTTCAGGCCCGATTCCTGCAGCACCTTGTGCATCCGGATATGGTCATCGGTCACGTCCTGCAGTCGTGGGGGCACCTTGGTTGGGTCCCACAGAAGGAAGGCTGGGGTGGAGGGAACACAGGGCATGGTGAGCCAAAGCTTGAACACAGACTGCCCAGGCCACACAGCCTGCCAGCCTTAGGCCAGAACAAAACCCTACAGGGGCTCTCCACGGCCTTGCATTTGGCCCAGCCTCCTGGCTTCCTGACGGCCACCCAAGGGCTGATCACATCTCTCCCCACCTGCTCCTGTCCAGTTACCTATCTGCCTCCTCCCTGGTCTGCCCACCCAACACTCCCTTTCACATACTCTGCCCCCGCCATGCTCCCACCTCAGAGCTTTGCACCTACTGATCCCTCTGCCCCCCACCCCAGGTCGCTTCCCTTCCTGGGAGGATGAAACACAGGGGCAAGGCATGGAGACCATGGAGACACAGCCAGCCATGATCTGTATGAACTCAGCACAGCTGGTGGGCCTCCCTGGGCTTCCTCTGCCTTCCATGCAACAGGGCATAAGAACTGCTTCTGTTAACTGAGCACCTAGCATGTGCCTCTGTGAGTGTAGATACTCAGAATTTGGTGAGGATTAAGTGGCATTCGTCCCTAAGGCCTCAGATGGTGCCTAGCACATGGTCAGTGCTCAGTAAATGCTGTTCGCTTTAGCTGTCCCTGTTATGAACCCTGTCCTTTGGACGATTTGAGGCAAGCATTTGTTTAATGTCCCTCTCCTCATAAATGGGGGAACTCTGTGAGAGGACAGACCTGGTCTGCGTAAGCCAGGCTCTGTCCTTTCCTGCAGGAGGCTCTCCCTGCCCTCCTCCCGGGCTGGGTCAGGGGCCACCTCAGGGTTTCTCCTGTTCTGGCCCTTTTCCCTCTGCCTGTGTTGCTCCATCTTGGCCCCAACTTCTGGGGCCTACCACTGTGCAGCAATGGGGCTGTTCACCACTTCCTTCCCACCTACGAGACCCAGGAGTACAGAGCCCAGGGATGTATTGGTCACCACTGTGTCCCCAGCATCACCCAGCAAGGTTCATGCACACAGTTAGTGCTCAACAAATGCAGAGTAACTTGGGATGGCTCCAATGCCACCTTGCAGAAGCCCCTTGGCTGCCTGTCCAGGACCTACCCCTACCCAACCCTTCAGTCCCATCCCTATGACCCCACCACCCACCCGAGGTGCACGCCACGACCTTGTCCACGCCATGGGCCTTCATGGCCGCCACAATGTTCCGGGCGCCCTCGGACATAACTGTGGTAGGACCTTAGAGGGGACAGAGAGTGGCTGTCACTAGCAGGCGGCGGTGGTGGCGGGGGTGGCAGGGGTGGGGCCGGGGGCGGGGGTGGTGCTGGGGGCCGAGGCCCAGGGGTGGGCCGTGGGCAGAGGGGGGGCCCAGTACTGAGGTCATTGCGGGTGCCCAGCAGCACGATGACGGCATCCTGCCCAGCAACAGTCTTGTCTACATCGGTCGCATGGAGAACATCACCCACTACCACGTGAGCCGGCTGGGGCCCCTCTGGGGGCAGCCTGGAGGCATCCCGCACCAGCACTGTCACCTCATAACCTGTGGGCAAAGAAGGACAGAAAGGCACGTCAGTAGGCTTGTGGACTGGCACCCCCAGGCTCCAGGAGCTGGGTCCTAGAGGGTGCCACAAACCCCCAAATCACCCCCCAGGCCCCCTGTGAGGTGGCAATACCTTCATGCCAGTTTGTAAACAACCTGCCTCCAAGGGCCTCCCCCAGCACTCCCAGACTGCTCCACTCTCCAGCAACTACAGGGTTAAAGCCTAGCATCCCAGTGGTCTATGCCCCCTATCCTTGGTCCTGGAGGAAACTGAGGTATAGAGGAAAACATGAGTTGCCCAAAGGTTGCCCAGTGATGCGATTAGTCCTCCAGGCTTACTTCTGAAGGTCTGGGCTCAGTCTAAGTGGTCATTAAAATGGACATACCATCTTGGTATGTCCCCTCCCAAAGAATTTTGAGTAACTCTATGTCCCCACACATACACATCCATTTTATATATTTTTTAAAGATTTTATTTATTTGACAAGAGTCAGAGAGTGCACAAGCAGGAGGAACAGCAGGCAGAGGGAGAAGCAGGCTCCCCACTGAGCAAGGAGCCCCATGTGGGACTCGATCCCAGGACCTGATATCATGACCTGAGCCGAAGGCAGACGCTTAGCCGAGTGAGCCACCCAGGTGCCCCAAAATAAAATCTTAAAGAAAAAAAAAAAAAAAAAAAAGAAAGAAAGAAAAAAAAGGAAAGAAAAAAAAAAAAAAAAAAAGGAAGAGAGACCAGCACTCTCTGTTCACCAGGTGAGGCACAGCAAGAAGTCAGCTGTCTGGAATCCTGGAAAAGGGTCCTCACCAGAAGCCAGATCTACTGATACCTTATCTTGGACTTCTCAGTCTCCAGAACTATGAGAAATAAATGTTTATCATTGAAGTCACCAGTCAATGGTATTTTGTTACAGGCGCCTGAGCTGACTGAGACAGCTCACTGGAAAAATCAGGGACAATATGATTTATCCAAACGAATATGGACCACAAAGAACTGAAACACGTGAAGTACTCAATTATTTGGAAAACGAGAAAAGGAAAAACAACATTGTTCCACTTCTGTCCTCATGTATTTCTCAAAAACAAATGACGGGAAAGGATCACATGTGGGATAGCAGAGCCCCCCCACGCTGCTGCCACCATGCCGGACAGCTGGGACAAGGACAGGGACCCCAAGCCCCAGTGCCGATGCTCACACCTCACCGCAGACCTCGCTGCCCAACCCTGTAACCTATTTGACGAAGGCCTTTGACCTCCTCGCAGACCTGCCTGTAACCCTAGTGAGAGTTTATAGAGAAGTGGCATGCAAGAAAACAGGTATTATTACTACGACTGAGAGGTCCACCATGTGCTAAACATTACTGGATGCTGGGAAGAGGATGTCTTGTGCATGTTTGAAACAGAAATGCAACAAAGGGGTCCCTGGGTGGCTCAGTTGGTTAAGCATCTGCCTTCAGCTCTGGTCATGATCCCAAAGTCCTGGGATCGAGTCCTCCATGGGGCTCTCCGCTCAGTGAGGAGCCTGCTTCTCCCTCACCCTCTACTGCCGCTCTGCCTACTTGTGCTTTCTCTCTCTCTGTCAAATAAATAAATAAAGTCTTAAAAAATAATAAAAAAAGGAAAAAACCCAACATGTTTAAAATAAATAAATAAATAAATAAATAAATAAAAATGATGGGAGATTTGAACACTCTGGAGCAAAGATGTTGATAATAAGGATAATATTTATACAACTTTTCACATACATTAATTCATTTAATGCTCAAAGTAACACTGGGTTTGAACTGCGGCCCCACCACTAGCTAGCTGTATGACAAGGGGCAAGTCACTTAGCCTCTCTTGGCCTTAGGGCCTTCATTTATAAAGGCACACTAATAATAGTCTCTACCTTACAGGGTTAATGTAGATTTCAATAATGTACCGAAAGGCTTAACGTGGTCAGGTGATTTTTGGCAAGTGTGCCGGGACAATTCAATGGGGGAAAGAATAGTCTTGTCTTGTCTTTTCTTTTTTTAAATATTTTATTTATTTACTTGACACAGAGAGAGAGAGGTCACAAGTAGGCAGAGAGGCAGGGAGAGAGAGAGGGGGAAGCAGGCTCCCTGCTGAGCAGAGAGCCTGATGCAGGGCTTGATCCCAGGACCCTGGGATCATGACCTGAGCCGAAGGCAGAGGCTTTAACCCACTGAACCACCCAGACGCCCCAATCTTTTCAACAAATGATGCTGGGGCAACTGGATATTCATCTATAAAAAGAATGAAGTCAGATCCCTACCTCACACCATATATGAAAATTAACTCAAAATGACCACAGACCTAAATGTAAGAGCTAAAACCATAAAAAAAAAAATCTTAGAAAAAAAAAAAAAACACAGCTGTAAATCTTTGTGACTTTGGATCAGGCAATAGTTTCCTAGCTATGACATGAAAAACACAAGCCACAGAAGAAAACACAGACACACTGACATCATCAAAATTAAAAACTTGTGTGCTTCAAGGACACCGTCAAGAAAACGAAAAGATAATCCATAGAATGGGAGGAAACTTTTGCAAGTCATACATCTGATAAGGAACTTGTATTTAAGATATATAAAGAACTTCTACACCTCAGAAATAAAAAGATAAACAACCCAGTTAAAAATTGGGCAAAATATCCGAATAGAGACTTCTCCAAGGAAGATACACAAATGGCCAATAAATATGTGGAAAGACACTCAACATCACTGGTCATCAAGGAAATGCAAATCAAAACCACTGAGATACAACTCCACACCCACTAGAATGGGTAATAAAAAAAGACAGACATTAAATATTGGTGCACACATGAGAAATTGAAACCCTCATACACTACTTTTGGGTGTGGTGATGATGCAGCTGCTTTGAAAAAGTCTGGTAGTTCCTCTAAAGAATAAAAATGGAGTTATCTGGGGTTCCTGGGTGGCTCAGTGGGTTAAAGCCTCTGCCTTCTGCTCAGGTCATGATCTCAGGGTCCTGGGATGGAGCCCCACATTGGGCTCTCTGCTCAGCAGGGAGCCTGCTTCCCGCCGCCCTCCTCCCCCCCCTTCCTGCCACCTGCCTTTCTGCTTACTTGTGATATCTCTCTCTCTCTGTGTCAAATAAAAAAATAAAATCTTCAAAAACAAAAACAACAACAAAAATACATGGAGTTACCAGATGACTCAGCCTTTCCACTCCTAGGTATATGCCCAAGGGAACTGAAGACATACATTCACATAAAAATTAGTAGGTCAGGGGCGCCTCGGTGGCTCAGTGGGTTAACCCTCTGCCTTCGGCTCGGGTCATGATCTCAGGGTCCTGGGATCGAGCCCCGCGTCGGGTTCTCTGCTCGGCAGGGAGCCTGCTTCCCCCTCTCTCTCTGCCTGCCTCTCTGCCTACTTGTGATCTCTCTATCTGTCAAATAAATAAATACAATCTTTAAAAAAAATATGTATATATATATTTAAAAAAAAATTAGTAGGTCAAAGTCCACAGAGGCATTATTCACAATAGCCCAAAGTGGAAATGTCCCTCAACCACATGGATAAATAAAATGTGGTCTATCCATACAATGTACACAACAGTATCCAATGATGGAAAGAAAGGACATACTGACACATGCTACAACATAGATACACCTTGAAAAAATATTTTTTGCTAAGTGAAAAAAGCCAGGCACAAAGAACCAGATAGTGTAGGATTCCATTTAAAGATTTTATTTTTATTTATTTGTCAGAGAGAGAGAGAGCACAGGCAGGGAGAGCGGCAGGCAGAGGGAGAAGCAAGCTCCCTGCTGAGCAAGGAGCCTGATGTGGGACTCGATCCCAGGATGCTGGGATCATGACCCAAGCCGAAGGCAGCCGCTTAACCAACTGAGCCACCCAGGAATCCCTGTGTAGGATTCCATTTATTTGGAACGTCCAGAACAGGCAAATCCATACAAACAGAAAGTAGATGAGTAGTTGCCCACAGCTGGGGGAGAGGTTAAGAAGAAAAATGGGGGGTGGTGGTGACTCCTAGGTATTTCTTTTGGGGGTGATGAAAATGTTCTAAATTAATTGGGATGATGTCTGCACAACTCTGTGATTAGGCCAGAAAGCACTAAGTTGTATACTTCAAGTGGGTGAATTATATGGGATGTGAAGGAAATCTGAACAAAACAAAGCTGTTATAAAAGTATGAAACTTGGGCACCTGGGTGGCTCAGTTGGTTAAGCAGCTGCCGTCTTCAGCTCAGGTCATGGTCCTGGAGTCCCGGGATCGAGTCCCGCACTGGGCTCCCTGCTGGGTAGGGAGTCTGCTTCTCCCTCTGACCCTCCCCCATCTCATGCTCTCTCTCTCTCTCTTTCCCTCTCTCTCTCTCATTCTCTTCTCTCTCAAATAAATAAAGTCTTTTTTAAAAAATATTTTAGTTATTTATTTGACAGACAGAGATCACAAGTAGGCAGAGAGGCAGGCAGAGGGGTGGGGGAAGCAGGCTCCCCGCTGAGCGGAGAGCCCGATGCGGGGCTCGATTCCAGGACCCTGGGATCATGACCTGAGCTGAAGGCAGAGGCTTTGACCCAATGAGCCATCTAGGCGCCCCTCAAATAAATAAAATGTTCAAAAAAAAAAAAGTATGAAGCTAAGACAAATGAAAAGTTTAGGGGAGTGCCTGGCACAGGAATGAGTGATCTGTGGGTGCTAGCTGTTCCCGCAATTTTTAATCATCTCAGATGTTATTTCCTGGGGGCCTGGGTGGCTCAGTCAGTTAAGAGTCCGCCTTCAGCTCGGGTCATGATCTCAGTGTCCTGGGATCTAGTCCTGTGTCAGAGTTCCTGATCAGCAGGGAGCCTGATTCTCCCTCTCTCTCTGCTGCTTGCCCTGCTTGTGCGCTCTTTCTCTCTGTCAAAAAAAAAAACCCTTAAAAAAAAAAAAAAAAAAAAGAATGTTATTTCCTGTCCTGGTCTAGGCCTCCCTGGGTTCCTGGCCCCTGTCTCACCCCCTCTCATCCATATTCCACATGGCAGCCAGGCAGAGCTTTCCACAGTTACACTGAAGTCCCCTCCTGCTCGTATCCCTCCCATGATGCCCTTCCCCACAGTGCCCTGAGATAAAGTCTATGCTCCTCATGACAGCCTTCCAGTCCCTCGGGGTCTGGCCTCTCCTCTCCAGCCTGTGCTGGACCCACTGCCCTCTTCACCCACTGCACCTCTTCCAGTTCCCCAAATCCATCATGTTGTTTCCTGCCTCCTGGCCTTTGCACGTGCTGCCCCCTCTGCCTTGAGCACCCTTTTCCTTTCCCCGGGGCCACCGGCTACTTGGGTGTCCTCTGCCATGGTCCTCTGTCACTTACACTGCCCTGGAGTAAATCAATGGCCCTGCAGTTCTGGGGACATCGTCATATTTGCCACCATCTCCCTGGGGTTTGGTAAACACAAAAGTGCAGGCTTTACTGCCCTATGGACCTAGGTTCCAACTCTGCCACCTACTAGCTGAGGAATCACAGGAAACACCTTCCCTGATTGGACCCCAGTCTCCCCTCTAGCGTGAAAACGATAAATCCCAGTATCCCCATCCCATGTGACCACCCTTCTTAAGGGAATGACACAAAACCTGTGCTGTACTCATATACATCGGGGAGCCAATGAAGGCATTGGTTAACTACCAATGGTTAAAACGGACCCTAGTAAATTCCGGGTATTCTGGGGGAGAAAAATGTCCTCCTGGAGAGTGAGAACTTGGACACAGGCTCAGTACAAGGGTGCCCATTAGTGTTCTATTTTTGCTGATTAGTGACATTTATGGAGAACCTCTTACCGGCCAAGTGCTGTGCTAAGCTCTTTCTATGGACGAATGGTATCTTTTTTTTCCAAAAATTTTTTTTTAACACAACCCACATTTAAATGAAAATTTCAATAGCCACATGTGATCAGTGGCCACCATACCAAACAGCAGTGTTTTAGAATTTACAGATTTTTACCCTTTAGAAAACAGAGCGTTTGGATGGTACTTCCAAACTTCTTCCTTCTTCTTCATTTTCTTCTTCTTCTTCTTTTTTTTTTTTTTTTTTACAAATCCCTTACTTGATATTTTTCTCTTAATTTTTTATTTTGAAATAAATTTAGACACCTCGGAAAGTTGCAAGACCTCAATCCTCATGCTTGCTTTTGCTTTATCTTTCTGTGTGTGTGTATATAATACATAACATATATAATTGTATACGTATATATATAAATACATTTATACATAAACACACATTTTTTTTCCTAACAATCTGAGAGTACGTTACAGAGATCATGCCCCCTTTAGGCTTCTTTGATCTCAATCCTCAGTACAAAATGAATATCAAAGCCTAACCCAGTATATACAAATCCATGCATAGGTAACTGAAAGAAGGTTCATAACACCAATATTCAACATGCGATACACTCTGACACCTTTGTGACCAACTAAGTATATTTCAAAACTCGCTGTCACCCACAGTTTGAAAAGCACCAGATTGCAACAACCCTAAAAGGTATTATCTGCCCATTTTGAAGATGGAGAAATTGAGGCAATTTTAGGCAACTAAGCTGGGTTCACACGACTATGAGTTCACTTAGCCTACAGAAGGCTTACTGAGCACCAACTATATACTGAACATGGTTCTGCGCATTTTGCATATATTATCTCATTTAATCATTGCAAGCGCCCAGGAGCAAGCGCTACTAGTTTTATTCCCACTTTCCAGCTATCCAGGCACCCAGATGATAAGGCATTTGACTATGTAGATGGTAAGTGTTAGAGCTGGGATTGGTATGCGGGCAGGCTAGAATAAGCCTCATAGAATCACTGAGGTAAATAAAGTCCCAATTCAGTCAAGCTCTTCTGATGGGGACAGTGAGGCTCAGGGGTTCACTGTGGCTCTGAAGAGACTTGTCAGAGCCACAGTGAGAAGGCAGGGCCTCCCCCAGGCCTCAGCTCTCAATTGCCTGGGGGTGCAGTCCCAATTGTGCCCAGCAGGGCGGACAAACGCAGTTCATGGAATTCAGGATTAAGGGTAAGGGAGTCACATGGGAATCCAGATCCTCATGGTGACTCAGCACCTCTAAACTTCTCCGTCTTACTTCCTCCCCCAGAAATGCTTATCCACAAATTTCTTTCCACCCTCCCCACAAATCAAGATCCTCACTAGGTCTTTCTGGGGAAGGGGTGAGCAGTGGGCCTGACAAGGAACTCTCAGGCAGAGTGTGCAGAGGGTGGGCTGGGCTATGAGACATCAGAGTGGGATCCTAGCAGCCTCCACCCCTTTGGGGGCACCCAGATAGCTAATATCTTCAGAGTCACTGAGACCAGCAAGGGTGGGGCCCTATATCTGGAAGTCCCAGGCCCCACTGGGGGTTGGTGAAGTCTGGATGGTGGAGGCAGGGAGGCTGCCGGGTGCTTATCCCCTTCCTTGAGACAACTGTGAATTTCTAGCTCTCACCCACTTTCCCACGACCAGAGCCCAAGTCTTCACCTATGTCTCTGCTACGCTTTTTTCATTAGGTGCTCCCAGCAACCGGCCCCCCCCTTCCAGCCTTGGTGCCCCGGCCAGGAGCCCGTGGACTTTTGTTGGCAGTTAAGAGCACAGGCTGGGTTCAAATCCCAGCACCACCACTTTCCAGCGGTCTGATATTGGGCAAGCCACTCTCTGCGCCTCAGTTTTCTCCTCTGTCAAGTAAAGTGATACTGGTTCTGAGGGCGATGAGGATTTAACACTGGGGAAGATTGGTAGGCGCTGAGAGGCAAGCCGCTGCCTGGCTGAGGAAGCCTTCGCTGGGTGTGCTAACAACCACCAAAACTACAATAACAACGTTTCCTAAGAGCATTGTATTTAAACCTGTCACTGGAGTCCCCCCTTGCCTCCCAGGGCCAATTCCTAGTCCTTGGACTCACATAAAGTTGGATCTCACAGCATCCCCCACTTCTGTCCCCGTCGCCACCTGCTTTGCCCCTAGGTCACAAACCAAAGCACTGATGGCCCAACCAGCCTCAGGAGGCCCCTTCCTAATGCGCTGCACGTGCACCCCGTTGACATCCCCCGCCCACCCCAGCTCATGCCTGCTTGCACCGCCTGCGCCAGCGTGGTGAGCCCGGTCCTGCCCGTGGCGCCGAAGATGGCAATCTTCTTGACGGCCATTCTGCGGAGTCGTGGGGGTGCGAGGCCACGGAGTTGCACGACGCGCGGGAACCGGGAATCTACTGGCTGCCTGGCCGCCCTCTCAGTCCTTCTCAGGCGGGAGAGAGGGGGCGGGGCAGGGACAGAAGGCCACGCCTCAGCTTCCTCTGGGCCAAACAGGCCACGCCTCTAGCCAGGAAGAACGCGGCGGGCGGGACGTAGTAGGCTGCACGCCTCTGCCTGCGGCCCGGCACCGTTCTCTCCGCCTGTCACTTAGGCTGGGAGGCGTGGCCGTATCTGGCCAACTGGGAGGAGCGTGGGTGGACCTGGTGCCCCGCCTCTGCGCTCCAGCCGGAGGCGGGGCGAAACTCGGGCTCCGCCCACCTGCCTAGCCTAGCTCACGCCCCCTCTCCTAGGGCCTGACGCTGACCTGGGGTTCCCACTGTGCCCAAAGGCTTTCTGGAAGCTGCAAGGGAAGAAAGTGAGGGAGGGAGGGTGTGACCCTGTAACTGTGTGTATATGTGCCCGTGTGACTCTGGGACTGTGAGTAACCCCAAGGGAGAGCCAGTTTGTGGGTGACACCATGTGCCAACCTCTGTGTGTAGCACTATGTTACATTATGAGACCGCATGTGACACCACGTGTGGCAAGCCTTCATGATGTTCTTTTGTGACCTTGTGGTGCTACTGCGGATGACACTGTGTCTGTCTGTGATGCTGTATGCATCCATGAAGCTGGGGGATTTGGCGTGGGACATGTGTGAGATGTGTTTTATGGGAGTGTGTGACTGTTAGACAGTGACAGTGTATGACCCCCCACGTATCATGTTGGGATGTGTGACCGTGACCCTATTTGAGTGTGTGACTGTGGGTATTAACCGTTCTTGTGATGCTATTTGTGACTTCTTGTGACTGCATGACGTATGAGTGTGTGACAGTTACAGGATGTGTGACACGTGTGTGACTGATGTGACAAGTTTGAGTGTGTAAAAGTGTGTGACACTGTGTGATTGCGAAGCTGTGTGTGACCTGCTTGTGACTGCTTGTGACCCCATGGCAGTGTGCGACAGTGTATGACATTTGCGTGATTGTGTGTGACACAGCGTGGGTGGTGGCGGCACTATTCGAGTGTGTCACTATGTGTGAGGCTGTCGGGCACTGTGCCAGTGTGGGACCCCATGAGCGTGTGACTGAGTCTGAGTTTGAATGTTTGACTCTGTGTGACACCGTAGGGGGTGATACTGTGTGAGTGTGTGGCTGTGGGTCGTGTTTGCGCCGCTGTATGTGACCCTGTGTGTGTGTGTGCCAGTGTGGGAGTGTGTGACCCCGTGAGGGTGCGTGGCTGTGGGTGACGCTACCTCTGGCCCCGCGAGTGCTGTGACTCGGTGTGTGACCGCGCGTGGGCCAGCGCTGCAGGCGGCCGAGGCGGCGGGGGACCGCGGGCGGGAGGGGGTCCCGGGGGCGCGCCGAGCGCGGCGGCCGCGCGAGCGGGGGAGGCGCGGCAGCGGCGGCGGCGGCGCATGCGGATCTGGTCGAGCGGCGGGGCCCGCGGGGCCGAGCGGAACGGGCCGGGCCGGGCCACGGACGCCGACAGGGAGGGCGGTCGGGCTCTGCGAGCAGCGGAGACAGCGGCACCGGCGGCTGCGGGCCCAGGTGAGCGGCGTGGGGTGATAGCCCCTCCCTGCAGCATCTCCCCACCTGCCCAGCATCCCTCCCCCGCGCGCTGTGGGCATGGCCTGAGCCCCTAGGGTCCCCCCGGCTGGAGGAGGGGACGGGTCCAGGGCAGAATGCACCCCCACCCCTCAGCCCAGCCAGTCTCCGCGCCATGCGTAGGTATTCCACCCGGGCCTTGTCCTTCCCAGGCCCCCTCCTTGCGAGCAGTGACTAGACTGCAGGGAGAGAGAGACACGGCCTTGGAATGGTTAAAGCATCGATTTTTTTCCTACCCCCAGCCTCGAGCCTTTGCTGGGGCCGCAGGACACCTCTCTCCACCTCCCCCATCTCCCTCTTCTCCTTTCCTTCTCCATTCAATTGGGTAATGGCTAGGGCTCTTCCTGGAGCTGACAGCTCACCAAGTGTTAAGTACCTCCCCATCCCCAAGTATCCTCCACCGAGGAAACAGCTGTTTTAACAGGGAGAGAAACTGAGGCAGAGAGACCAAGTTAAAGCGGAAATAAAGCAGGGCTTGAACTCATGTCTGTCTGACTCCAACACAGGCACTTTGGTTTGCCAAGATATGTGACCAGAGGAATAATAATAGCAAGGACCATGTATCAAGGGCTTGCATGAACCAGATACCATGTTCCCTGCATTATTAACTCATTTCATCTACAAACATCCCTAGGAAATGGGCACTGTTACCATTACCGTTTTACAGATGAACAAACTGAGGCCTAGAGAGAGGAAGTGACTGGCCAAGGTCGCACAGGTGGTAAGTAGCAGCCATGCGCCGACTTACAGCTTTCCACGGAAGGAGAGAAGAATAACAGGGGATTTTGCAGTGTCCACCAAAAGGGACAACCTCCACTACTCTGACCAAGACCTGGGCCCTGCTTTCCTACAATCTGAGTTGTCAAATGTCTGAGTTTTTGAGAAGGACAGTGATCTCCCCACCATTCCCTCCTTTCTTAGTCTTGGAATCAGGGAGCCTGGAGGGAGGAGGAGATGTATCTGATGTCTCCCACCCCCTTAAATTTCATATTTGCAATCTGGCAGTGTTCTAGAGCCTAGCTCTGGATCCGACAATATGTCAGCTTGCTGTTGCCACAATAATGCTGCCTAAGGAACCACCCCCAAACTCAGTGTCTTAAAACACTGAGCGTTTATTTAACCATCAAGTCTGAGGTCAGTGACTTAGGCTGGCTCAGCTGGCCTTATGCTTATGTGTGGGATGTGGTGTTGGGAGCGGTGTTGGTGGCTATAGGTGGCCTTGGCTTTAGTGACTGGGCCCTTAGACCAGGACTATGCCAACAACGTTTTCCTCACCCTCACAATCAAGCACAAGCAAAAACATGTGGTCTCTTGAGTTTTAGGCTCAGAATTCGCTGGAAATTCAGAATTTCCCCCTAATCCTGTTGATCAAAGCTAGTCATGGGGCCAAACCCAGAGTCAAGGTTGTCAGGGGACACTCCTCTGATTTCCCCATCCCTACAGTAGAAGAACGGTCAGGAATTATATGGCAAAGGACAAGGTTATAAGGATGAAAAATTGGGGCTGTTTAATGCAATCATTTGATCACAGTACCTGCATTTGAACTCTGGCTACCCACTAGCTTTGCGACCTCCTCTCTAAAATAGGCCAAAGACTAGCCTATCTTTAGGGAATTAAACTTGTGGGAATTAAATAAGATAATGCATATAAAGTCCTGGGGACAGCACAAATGCTCGATAAATGTTAATTCTTGTTCTTACTGCATTGGAGAGTTCTACTGATAACAGTGTCATCGTTCTAACAATAATACAGGGACAGTTTGGTGAGCCCCTACCCTGCGCCGAGTGCTAAGCTGGGTGCTTTGCCACCGCCCTGAGAAGTGGCCTGGGCGAAAGTGACTGTCAGTAGTAGTCTGTCTACTTGAAAGACAGGGAAACTATTAGAAGCAGGACCTCTGAGCTCAGGCTCTGTTTCTAGCCTAATGAGCCTCTGCTTCTCCCCAGGCCTCACCTTCCCCGATGGCGCAGGTTCCAGGCGAAGTGGACAACATGGAGGGCCTCCCGGCCCCCAACAACAACAACCCTGCAGCCCGCTGGGAGAGTCCTGATCGGGGCTGGGAGCGGGAGCAACCAGCAGCCTCCACAGCGGCCACATCGCTCTTTGAGTGCTCCCGGATCAAGGCCTTGGCAGGTACCTGGAGGAGGGCTGGGTGAGAGGGAGAAGGGAGGGGAGGGGAAGAGGCTGCTGGGCTGGTGTCTGGGTACCTCCTCGGTCAAGAACCTTGGTGGCCTGGAGGATGGGAAAGAGAGTCACAGACCCTTTGCATGTGAATCTCTAGACCAGCAGCATCCAATGAATGGAACGTTTCTCGGTGACAGGAAAACGTTCTCTATCTGTGATGTCCAATATATGAACCACTAACCACTAGTACTTGTGGCTGTAAGCACTTGAAGTGTGGCCAGTGCTTCTTGAGGGACCGAATTTTTAACTGTATTTCGTTTTAATTAATTTAAATTTAAATAGCCACATGTGGCTGGTGGATACTGGCTGGGGCGGGGCTGCCTTAGAAAAGTAGAGTTCAGAAATGTGGGATTTTATAAGCATACTTCCTTAGAATCTCAAGATGTTGAAATACTAGAGTTTTGGACCTTGGAATGTCATGCTCAGGGATTCTTCCAACTTGAGGCCTTTAGAAATGAGGTTAAGCATCTGCCTTCGGCTCAGGTCATGATCCCAGGGAACTGGGATGGAGCCCTGCGGTGTTGGGCTCCTTGCTCAGCGAGGAGTCTGTTTCTCTCTGCCTGCCACTCCCCCGACCTGTGCGCTCTCTCTCTGACAAATAGATAAATAAAATCTTTAAAATAAATAAATATGAAAAACAAATCAAAACTATGAGCAAAGACCCCAAGAACCTTCAGAGCCATGTAACTTCATAATCATTAGCCTTAAGCCTTTAAAATATTAGACCCTTGGGACCTTTGTTATCTTGGGAACGCAGAATGTTAGAAACAGAAACTATAGATTGTAGTAATCATGAAATCTTAAAACCCTAAGGTTGGAATCAGTTCCCTGAGAATCTCAAGAATTTTAGTAACTCAACATTTGACAATCATGGGATCTTTGCTACTAAGATTCTTGGAACTTCATAATTTTAAGATTTTGAACAGTGATGTCCAACTCGAGGGCATCTGGGCAACAGGTGACAGGAATGAAAGAGTAGACTGGGGATCATGGTCAGCTGGAAAGCAGTGCCCTGAACACCGGCACCAGCCATGGGGAAACGTGGGCCCCAGATTGCTAGCTGTGATGTTTATCCAGAATTTCCCAATTGAAAAAAAAAATCTGTATGTGCCACAAAGTCTGAACTAATATTAATTCACAGATTGCCAGCTTCCTGTGATTGAGAAACTAGAATGGTATAAAATGTATTTTCGGAAACTTAAAATCATAGTATCAGACGGGGCA